GGATCTCACCTTAGAGTGAAATAAATTAGACACCTACCCGGACATCTGGTCCTGGCAAGTAAGTCATGGTATTTTGACCATATTTTTGCTGTCTTTGTCAGGTTCACCAACTGCTCTTTTTACAGACTAATACTATTGGAACTACTCCTAGGTGATCACCAGATCGACTGCCATGGACTTTTAGTTCTATCCAGATCGTACCATGCCCCTAGTAGTTTGGTACACGCAATGAGAGACCATACTAAGTCTGATTCAGAAAATACACAATGTTCATTAAAATCGAACAAAGCTAAAAAAGGCCAAATAAGTAGATGTCTAGGGTGAGAATCTTAAAGATGGAGGCAGTTTTACATGTTCTGTTCAAAACAAAATCTGAAATTTGACTGTTCAATTATAAATTTACCTCTTTCATATCAAACAACCACTTATTGTAAACCAAATTTTTTTTCGAAGGAGACTGGATGAAAATGTTATTTAGAAAGAATGTGAGATGGCGATGGACACCAGGTTTGTTCCCAGCTATGTCAACCTATTAATGTAGCTAAAAAAAAAAAAAAGTCCATATAAAGCGTTACAAAGATAAGTTGCCACTACTCTTCATGGTTACATAATGCCCCTAGAGGTAACTGGTGACATTTTGTCATCAAATTAAATATGGTGACCAGGGGTCACGTGACCAAGCTCATGTATGCCTTTCTTGCAGCTTTACCCTTTGATATGGTAATTGGGTAATTCTATACCTTTACAAGCAAGGAGAGAGATGACCACTTCCTCCTATCTCCATTCCTCCCTGTTCCTTCTTGGCTGTGCTATTGAGCAGACGTCAGACATGTGCTATCATGGTGAACTATGCTACACTCTGTTGCTTCCTTTTATTCCTTGGTGGATGTGATGTTGAACTTGCGGCAGTGAGCCATACTAGATGTGAAGGCCTAACCGTGGGTGAGATCAAACGTGTGGGGAAGGGGATTACTATATAGATAGATTAAAAAGGGTTGTTGCTCCATGGGTCTGGGCTGTGTGTTTGTGATACATTTATAGTATTGTATTGCCTTCTAATAAATACCTTTTAATGTAGACGAACCTTGTGCAATATATATTGATTTGGTAACTTACTACATTTGGCGGCCACAAATTTTAGACTTCTACAAAAGGTTATTTATGAGGTAATAACTAATAGATTTATTTTGGGGGAGAAAAAAAAAAAAAAGTACTTTGTTAATTATCCTCTGCAGGGGAAAATCAAGGGCTGATTGTGTTTCGAGTCTAGTTCAGGCCTCCATTTTAATATACCAGCTTAGTCTCAGGCCTCAATTTTGAATATATTTTTACAGTTTGTGTGTTTCAAATATCTAAGTTTGTTGTGTTTTGACTATCAGTTAAGGCCTAGTAGTTTTTTCAGGCCTTCATTATTTTATTTTTATTTTTTAATGCACTACCAGCATAGTTCTCAATTTTGAATATATTATATTGTACTAGCTTATTTTGCTACATAAAACAAAAAAAAGGCATAATACAGGTTGTGTTTTTCAAATATCTGAGGAGTTAGAGTACAGGCCTAGCCCTGCATTTTAATACACTATAGTAGGCTTCCATGCGGCTTCTTTTCGTATTTGAAAGCGGATCTGATTCTTTTGGATCCTAGTGCAGACCTCAATTTGAATAGAATACTATTTTTTGAAATCCTTTATATTGGATTAGCTTATTTTGCTACATAAAACAAAAAGGTATAATAGTTTTTTTTGTGTGTGTTTCAAATATCCGAGTTTAGTCCTATAATTACTTTTGTTGTGTTTTGACTATCATAGTTCAGGCCTAGTAGTTTTTCAGGCCTTCATTTTTTTAATTTAAAAATACACTTCCAGCATGGGCCTCAATTTTGAATATATTTAAAAATAACAGAACTTCAAAACAGAATAATGGACTATAAAAAAAAAAAAAAAAAAAAAAAAAGTGGTCTTAACTTAAAAGAATGGACAGAACTGTTAGAATATGCTATGGGTCCTTTGGCAAGCAGACTATTGGGATTTAATAACAGTGATCAGGCAGGAAGAATTGCTGCAACTAATTTCTATCTACTCAGCATAGAGAAAGAAATAGCTAATATTACCATGAGGCCAGCAGATGGTCCTAGAGAGGTAGCTCAAAGGATATTTTTCTGGTATACACTACGCCAAGCTCAACAGCCCCTGGTGTTGGGCTCACCAGAACACATTGCTAAAGTAATGGAAGCCTTTCCCTGGGAGTGTCAGGAATTTGTCAGGCTTTTTGATCCAACACCAGCAGACTTAGAAATGGTACTAACTAGAGCTGACAATTGGTGGATTAAACATCCTTTCACAGAACAGACCTGCTCTGTTTCAGCAGTGAGAACATTCAACATCGAGTCTAGTAGAGATATAGATGGTAAATGGAGAAACCAGAGGTGGGATGTACCCCAGAACAAGAGGGATAATGAGAACTGGAGACCAAAACAGGACTTTGACAAAAGATGGAGAGATCCACAGAGGGACCATATGAATAGGGCCAGTGCTAAAGGAAGCAATGTAATAGGAGATAATTGGAAAAATAGATGGGAGGAGCCTCAGGCAAATCAACAATAATTTTAATAAAACCTGGGACAGGCTAAAAAGAGATAAAAAAAAAAATTAAAAATCACAGTTGGGGAGAAAAAACAAACAAAAACAAAACCGGAACTGTTATTGGAAGAATTGGAGAAGGAACCATAGATGGGTTGAGCATCAGACCAAACAGATGAAATTGGGATAATTGGAGGAATAAAGAAAGGAAGAGAGACTACTGGGACCTAAAGAGACAGACAGATTGGAGGCAGATGTGAAAGCGCTTAGGGAACAGATGAGGGAGGAGGAAAAGATTGATCAATTGGGGGTCCCAGCAATTAATAACTCATAGTTTTTGTTGCTCTCTACATCTGTATGTATGTTTTTTTCTCTAAGTCTTCCAGTCTCCCATATAGCTATACATTTCGAATGATGAGATCTAGTGTTCCCACAGAGCAAGGCAAAGCTGTATTAGGATGTGTGTCAACAGAAGATCGTGGTGGATCCAGGTTACAGAATGGATAAGTATAAACTGTATCACAGTAGGGATGGGGAGACAGGCAATACGGACAGAAGATACTCCAAGTAAGGTAGAAGATTAGAGTCTACATTTTAATAATCCTATTCCTCCAAGGTGTCCGGAACAGCAAAGCAAGGAGTCAGGAAAAATGGGACATATTTGCAGCTCTACTGGGAGGAGTCGGAACTGGATTGAGAGTATTGAATTCCGCAAATATAAATGGCAGATTCAGATTTAAAGGACTATTCTTACCAATGTAGAGACACATCCAGTACTACAAACAGTCGCTAGTACTCATGCTCATAATTACACTATACTTGTGTGGCAATGCAATAGATGAAGAGACTTGAAAAGGGGGATATATTTGAAAAAAATTCCCCCCCCACCCCTTCTCTCATACATTCAATAAAGTTTTACATTGCACATACATAAAACATAAAACATTTAACACACACCTAAATTCTATAAGTTCTGTTTTTGTGACAAATTTGTATAATATATGAATTGTCAGCCATAGGAAAGTACAGGAAATCTTATGTCGCTGAGGGAACTATTCCGGAGGGATGGTGGGTTGAATTTCTCCTGTATAAGGTTTTTGCTCCCACTAGGTTCTCCTGTACTAGAGGGATAACTAGATAATGGAGCAACATAGAAGAAGTGGGGGAATGTGGGGTGATGCAACCCCTATTTGACCGTTTTATTTTACCTTGCTTATTTCACTCACTATAATTCCTGTGATCCACTTTCCTACTTCAGATCTTAGTTTAGATAATATATCCTTCTCTATTATATTTAAATGTGCTTAACATAAGAGAAGAAAGAGTGAGGGAATGTGTTAACATTTTGTCAAACTAATATGGTGACCAGGAGTCATGTGACCAAGCTCATGTATGCCTTTCTTGCAGGGGGATAAGCTTTACCCCTTGATATGGTAATTGGGTAATTCTATACCTTTACAAGTAAGGAGAGAGATAACCACTTCCCCTTATCTCCATTCCTCCCTGTTCCTTCTTGGCTGTGTTACTGAGCAGACGTCAGACATGTGCTATCATGGTGAACTATGCTACACTCTGTTGCTTCCTTTTCTTCCTTGGTGGATGTGATGTTGAACTTGCGGCAGTGAGCCATACTAGATGTGAAGGCCTAACCGTGGGTGAGATCAAATGTGTGGGGAAGGGGATTACTATATAGATAGATTAAAAAGGGTTGTTGCTCCGTGGGTCTAGGCTGTATGTTTGTGATAAATTTATAGTATTGTGTTGCCTTCTAATATAGATGAACCTTGTGTAATATATATTGATTTGGTAATTTACCACAGTAACTATTGCACATCAAACAGAATTGCTTGGATACAAGTAAAATTCATAAAAAAACAGTCAATGAATTGAGATTTTAATGAGAAAGGACACAGTTCTTAAGCAAGGCCCATCAAGCAATTAGCCTAAAAGGATAGAAATGCACTCAAGTAGACATCCAGGGAGAACAAAATCAATTACGTTTTGATTATAATTGCTAAAGCCAATAAAAAAAAAAAAAAAAACACACACACTTTACAAAAATCATTGCAGATATACCCAGATTTTCTATAGGGAGTGCCCAGTCTGAAGAGCAATTTAACATACTCTCTCCTCCCAAAAAAAAACAACACACTCCTAAATAAGCATTTTCTTAATGAACATAAGTTTCCATGGTTGGCACAGCATGTAAAATCACTCAAAAGAAATAAATAGTAAATAACTATATAATATCAAGATAGCACTCCCAGGACTATAATAAATAAAAAAATAAAAAAAAATAAAAAAGACGTTTCAGTCTGTTACACACAGACTTTCATCAGGACTGACAAACATAATGCAAAAATATACATATATACCAAAATGAAAAAAAAATACAATTAACTTACCCACCACCGGAATAGACTATTGCTCAGTCAGCTCGGTCCGAAAATCGTGCGGGTTCTGCCCGACGTCAGCGTGTGTGTACATGACGTCATCACGTTGCGTCAGCGTCATTACCACATCATGAAGTCGGCCGTGAGACGGCCTCATTGGAAGTGCGCCGCTATGGTAATCCATAGCAACCTAACTAAACCAAAATCACATTAACTCCTTGGCTGGAAGAACAGGAACATGGCAATCTCTGTATAATGTTAAGCCCAAATCATGCTCTCTCATAAGTAATGCATAATTCTAGAATTACTAAAAGGGAGAATAGTTAGCATGACCTTCTCTTTAATATTTTTAGTGATATTGCAGAAGGTCTTGATGGTAAGGTATGTCTTTTTGCTGATACTAAGATATGTAACAGGGTTGATGTTCCAGGAGGGATAAGCCAAATGACAAATGATTTAGGTAAACTAGAAAAATGGTCAGAATTGTGGCAACTGACATTTAATGTGGATAAGTGCAAGATAATGCATCTTGGACGTAAAAACCCAAGGGCAGAGTACAGAATATTTGATAGAGTCCTAACCTCAACATATGAGGAAAGGGATTTAGGGGTGATTATTTCTGATGACTTAAAGGTAGGCAGACAATGTAATAGAGCAGCAGGAAATGCTAGCAGAATGCTTGGTTGTATAGGGAGAGGTATTAGCAGTAGAAAGAGGGAAGTGCTCATGCCATTGTACAGAACACTGGTGAGACCTCACTTGGAGTATTGTACACAGTACTGGAGACCGTATCTTCAGAAGGATATTGATACCTTAGAGAGGGTTCAGAGAAGGGCTACTAAACTGGTTCATGGATTGCGGGATAAAACTTACCAGGAAAGGTTAAAGGATCTTAACATGTATAGCTTGGAGGAAAGACGAGACAGGGGGGATATGATAGAAACATTTAAATATATAAAGGGAATCAACACAGTAAAGGAGGAGACTATATTTAAAAGAAGAAAAACTACCACAACAAGAGGACATAGTCTTAAATTAGAGGGACAAAGGTTTAAAAATAATATCAGGAAGTATTACTTTACTGAGAGGGTAGTGGATGCATGGAATAGCCTTTCAGCTTTAGTGGTAGAGGTTAACACAGTAAAGGAGTTTAAGCATGCGTGGGATTAGGCATAAGGCTATCCTAACTAATAGATAAGACTAGGGACTAATGAAAGTATTTAGAAAATTGGGCAGACTAGATGGGCCGAATGGTTCTTATCTGCCGTCACATTCTATGTTTCTAATAAGGTTTAAGAGAGAAAAACCAAGACAAGGTAACGTCAGACGGCTCAATGGCAGGAATGATCTACCCATCAGGAAACCCCTAACAGTACACTATTGACAAAACCTCAGGAGAATCTACTTCTGAATCAGACTATTCTCAGGAGTGACACCCTACACGACAACCAGGAGGCGCATCAGGTTCATCACAACAGTTTTTTAGAGACGGCATTATCAGACTGTGGTAAATAAATACCTTTACAAGTCAGGAAAGAGGTAACCACTTCCCCCTATCGCCATTCCTCCCTGTTCCTTCTTGGCTGTGCTACTGAGCAGACCCTTAAGCAGACATGGCCTAATTTCTATCATGGTTAACTGTGAGTGGGATCTGGTGATTTTATAAGATGTAGTTGTTCTTGTTAGTTAGGTTGTTGTTGCTGTTGGTATAGATTGTTGTTTTGTCTCTGAATAAATATTTGTTAAAGTAGACGGACCAGAGTTTATATTTGTATACGTACATAATTTATAGAGTTTGGTAATTTACCACACAGACGAATCAGGAATACGGACACGCTACCAGAGCAGACACGGAGTGCCAGACGGAGATACATCACAAGAAGTGGTCAGAAGGGGCATATCTTTTTGGGCAAGAGGCAGACCACCCCGTCACCAGAGATAGTCCCTATCTGTAATTTGTCATCTAGAATTATATCAGCGGACGAAATGTGTCTATTAAGCAAAGGATTGTCCTTTGTCCCTACCTAAAGACCTTGTCCTTTGGACTGGGAAGTGGAACTTTATAAATTTGGCCGTTCGCTGAGACTGAAAGAATTCTTTAAGTCTAAAACCACTGACAGTTCTGTTTTGACCCATCAATTTAAGAAAAAGATTACATTTGATCCTATGCCTAATCAGGCCTCCATCAAGACCTTCCTGCGCTCAGTCCACAAAGAATCCGCTGATTATTTGAAAGAAAATCATCCACATCACTCCAACTGTACCCGTAAAGATCAGACCATTATTAAGTCGTTAGCAGACGATAAGGACATTGTTATCATACCAGCCGACAAGGGTAGGGGCATTTTTATTCAGAATTATTCAGATTATCGTTCTGAAATTCTGACAACTTTCTGATCAGCATACTTGTAAGAAATTGCATAATGATCCAACAGAGCAAGTGATTTGCTGCGAGGATTGCATTCCAATTACATCTCTGTGGAATTGTACTCATTTGCAAGCAACCACACGAGAACTCCAGTGATATATACACATTGCCCAAGGTTCATAAAAACCAAGGACAAACCTCCAGGGCACCCCATTGTATCGGCAATAGGGGGTGTATTAGAACCACTAGCAAAATGGTTGGATCATTTGTTTAAGGAATCCATTGAGCATCTTCCTACATGCAAAGATACGCCAAGCTTTATTAAGTGACTGTCTGAGATAACACTACCTCCTGAACCAGTAGTCCTAGTGACTTGTGATGTAAAGAGCCTGTATTCAGTAATACCTCACCAGGACGGGATACAGGCAATGAGATCGATATTGGCCACTGTGGCAAACCTAGCCACTCGGACTATAACTGGACACTATGCCTTTAAGGGTTGCCTATAGGTCTGGAGAGAGATGCATTGTACCTGTATGTGCCTGCTTCATGTATTCCCTGCATTGCCTGTACCTATCTGTTCCGCCGAATGCAAATGGCGGTTTGTATGGGGATTCCCGTTCGTTTCGCGAACGGCACTTTGGAGGGCCGTTCGTGAAACGAATGCGATACCCCCTAATAGCCCACACACTTAGAGGCGTGTGGCGCTAGTTAACCGATTGCAACATTGTTGCAATCGGTTATTAGAGGCTCTCCTGGGTGGCCGTCGTTCGACTACCGACCATGCGGCGGGCGGCCATCTTGGATCCCTGGTTCGTCAGCGGGTCCGTGTCGTCGAACGCATAGCATTCCCAACAGTTATTCGACGGCACGAACACCGTTAAGCCTCCAGGACGTTCGGGAGTTTCAGGACCAGGTTCACTAAAGACAATCGGTTCTTTTCATGTGTTTTGAAAGAAAGGTGTTTTCTGTGCGGCGTTCGGTTATTTTAGCTGGGATCTGAGCGGCAATCTCACGAATGATGCGCCCAGACCCCAGCTATCTACCGAACGTCCATTCGTGTAAATCCACCGTATATTGTACCAACTGTGGATTTTTGTGTGAATTGCCGGTTCTGCTGCACGAGGGGATAATCCCCTTAACGGTGCATTCTGGGAGGATGATCACTCTCGTGCAGCGGTGCCTGATGGGAGAAAGATGTAGTACAGTAAGTCCCCCATGTAGTCCCCTCCTGTACAACCCCTGTAATGTCTGTTTGGAAACCCCTTGCATGGGGAATTGCATAAATACTGTGACCTGTGATTAAAACCTCAGTTGACTCCCAGCCTATGTGTCGTCTAGTTCTTGGGAAGGAAGGGTTACTGCAGTGCTGTTTGGATTATTATATGCTGATTCCCTGGATTATCCTTTGTTGTTCCTGTTACCCAGCGGAGATATCGTGGATCATACTGCCTCTCCGCTACAGCCACGTCTACCTACTATTCTGGCCCTCCGATAGAATTTACGTTGGAGCTATTGGAAATCGTGCTCTCAGAACTACTTCAGATTTGAATCAGATTGGTATAGACAGGTTGCAGGGACATCCATGGGTGCAGCCATGGCACCCATGTATGCGAATGGTTATATGTTCAGTTTTGAGTCCAAGTACATTCTGGAACCTTACAGTGATCGTATCTTGATGTATGTTCGATATATCGATGACATTTTCATGTTAATTAAGGGGAAAGTATCTGAAGTGGAAGAAATTATTGATAAACCCAATCGGTGTACCTCCAACATAGAACTGACGGCAGTGATTGATCCATCCTCGGTGGACTTTCTGGACGTCAGGATATCACGTGAAGGCTTAGGTTTGGCATACACTCTGTATTCAAAACCTACAGACCGAAATACGTTACTACAGGCAAGTAGCTTCCATCCTTATTCACTCAAAAATTCTTTGCCTTATTCCCAATTTTTACGGGTCCTTAGGAATAATTCCGATTCTAGCAAAGCTCAACAAATTGGCACGATGTGGGATAAGTTCCGCCAGCGCGGATACAGTAGTGTTGTGCTACAGAAAGCTCTCAATAGATGCCTTGCAACAGCAGGTACTTCTATTTCTACGGTAAAGATTAATAGACTAAATCTAGACGAGGCTGTAGTATGTTGTCGGGAAGATTAAAGACATCATCCAAGACAGTTGGAGAGTGTTGAGAAATGTTACCCTACCGTTGAGAGAACGGGTTCGGAATCATAGGTCAAGTATTAGAACGGCATACAGAGATAAATCCGAATTACCAGTAGCCAAACATTTTCTTGAATTGGGACATACTCTTCCGTCCATGAAACTTATGGCTATAGACCATGTCCCCCTACCTAGAAGGGGCGGTGACCAGAAAAAGATGCTTCTACAGGAGGGAGCTATATTGGATAAGAACACTACAAATTGTTCACCCAGATGGACTAAATGAGAAATATTCATTGTCTTTCTTATAAGTTTAGTAGTTACGGAGATTGCATTCTACCTGATATATACTGTAGTGGGAGACCTGTGCCTACCCGTAAGGGTTAAGTCACCATCTCTTTGGCTCAGATAGATGATGGTTCATAGGTTTCACTGGAGGTACCTGTTGGTTCGCATTTGGGTATAACTTTATCATACTGAGGGGGGGAGTTTGGTGCTTACCCTTCAGAGGTTATACCATTATCCCGTAAGCCCGCTATGATGCCATATCCAACGTGAGAACGTTATTCACACTACTAACCTTCAGGTCCACTATGTGCACCATCATGACACTGTCATTTTCATTAATGTGGATTGTTGATAAGGTTTC